CGCGCGACCGACGACGAGCAACGGCGACGCGACGGGAGTAAAGTGCGAGGAGGCTGCAAAGAGCTCGTCGCTGACGGACAACGGTCCGCGCGTACCGCAGACCCCGTTGGCCTTTACCATCGATTTCAGCAACAAGGAGGTGGACACTGCGAAGTATCAGAATCTGTTCGAAAGGTACAACGCTAGACACAGGCGGAATCTCTCCATGTCCAAGGTATTAAAGATTCAGTCATTTTTAATATATATTTTATTCAAAGAGTTCTATATTGTAAAACTCTCTGAACTGGTAAGTGTACGCTGTACAATAAGTTGAATTGAAACAAACATTGTGCTTTCCAGCAAGCGACACAATGTAACACAGTGATCATGTCATCTTCAGGTGCTTTTCTTTTAGTGACAAAAGTTGGCACAAGCATCATTCTATTTTTCTTATCATTCAGAGAGTAACAAAAATAGAACGACACTTTTGTTGACTTGTGTCACCAAATGAAAAGCATCCTTTGTTTAACATTGGTAAACAACAATGCAAACAATAGGGATGTAATGATTCACTGTGTTATACTATGTTATCTATATCTCTTGCTGGAAAGCATCTGGTATATTTGTTTTACTTTAATTTATTGCACTAACAAATGTAAGGTCTGTTTGTGTTACTTGAAACCCCAAAAACTTTTGCACTTAAAATGAGATAAATATATATTAGGCATTGAAAAAAGAGAAAGAGAAGATTCTGTGTGCATAAAGTGCAAGTAATGCAAACAGACATGTGTAAAACAAATATAGTTTGTTTCACTTTAACTTATCGCAAAATGTGTACCACAGAATTCTTTGATAAAGAACAAATTATATCTTGTATAAATAGATACTTAAATTTAACCATGCAATATTATGTGTTAATAGTTTGTTAACAGATTTGAACATTATAGTAGATTGGCATCAACTGCGTCTACATTAAAGCTCATATTCCATCAACAAAGCTTGCTAATAAAATTGCATTTATTGCTGATAGCATATTGTTAACAGAAACTAAATAGAATTACATTGCAATTATTTAGATGGACTGTATAATTCAAATTGTTATGAAATGACAAGATTCTGTTTGAGATTTCCATAATTAATTCCATGTTAATAGTTTGTTAACAGATTTGAACATTATAGTAGATTGGCATCAACTGCGTCTACATTAAAGCTCATATTCCATCAACAAAGCTTGCTAATAAAATTGCATTTATTGCTGATAGCATATTGTTAACAGAAACTAAATAGAATTACATTGCAATTATTTAGATGGACTGTATAATTCAAATTGTTATGAAATGACAGATTCTGTTTGAGATTTCCATAATTAATTTGCCATTGTATTTTACTAGTAGATTCTGTTATATTTCTATTGGCATTCTATTGACAAAAAACTAATTTGTAGTAAACACTTAATGAAATCTGTTTTTGACAGATTTAGCTACCTAAACAATAAACTTCAATTGTACAAATGCTTTTTTATAATAAAATATAATTAACTTTTACACTAATTGTTATTCAATTATAATCTTGATATAAGAATATACATTTTTTTTAAATTAGAAGAGTTTTATATAAAATATATATATTATATCATATAGTATATTTATTTTTAGGTAGAAGTAAAATCGAAGAAGCCGAGCACTATATTGTCTCCAAACTTGGTGCAAAAGCAGAAAGTTCCTAGCACTCATTCGGAGGGTTACTTCAGCAGTGAGGATGATACAAAGCGCAAAACTGACCAATTATCAGGAAGACTTAAACAATTAGGTAAATATATATTACACTTTTGTTCTTTTCTTTTTTATTTCTAAAGAATGATTTTTTTTTATTATTGCAATTAATATAATTAAAAAATTTTTTTTTATTAATATCATAGATATTATAATTTTATTATTTTTCTTGCTTTAATTTTTATAAATATTTAAAAGGAACTTATAAAATATTGAAAGTTGAATATTAATAGTTATAAATAGTTAAATATTAATAGTTACTTATAAAATTGATTATTAAAATCTTATACTGAGAATACTATATAGTCTGATAAAGTATGGATCCTTTAATATGAATTCTTTGTATTGGAACTGAATACCTGTGATGTATGAGTCATGGTGAAGTCATGTTCTTCAAGCTTCTTAATATTCCTTACAAGTACCTTCTACCCATTCTGAATGATATAGCCTGCTGACATATTAATGACTTTGATGTCATAATCATTTCCATATTAGGAACTATGTGTGATTTTCCTCCAGAAATTATGAATAATGTTGATAATTCTATTGTCACTTTTGTCATAATTCTACTATTTTTAAAATGATATTCCAGAAGATGCGTACATTGTCTCTGAATTAGAAATGTGAAATACTAGAAACTAAATTACGGGTATATATTGTATTGTATTTGTTAATTTATTTTTATATTTATATTCATTTTTATTTCATTTAACTTATATTTATTTTTATAAATAATATGTTTTATTACTTTTCTACATCTTATTAATTAAAGATTTGAATTGTGTATGTTCTTTAGGTGCCAAGAATTCTTCGAGAGCACATTCTAGCACAAAGAAATCCACGAATGAACAAGTAGATCCTTCTCTTCAGAATAAGCAGTATTTAATGACAAGGTCCTGTGACGATGAATTACATCACAACAAACTGTCATCTCAAGGCCTCTCTTTAGAACTTGAAACCAACGAAAATATATATTGGACATCCCAAAGATCTGCAACGATAAATGATTTAAGTCGTATTCAAATTAGCAATTACGACGACGACGAAAATGAGAAGCGATACACAAAGAACATTGAATATATCGACGTTAATCATGAGTGTAAGGAAGTAAATAATGTAGATGACAACAAAGTGTCTAATATGAATTATCTTCATGATGATTTCAACATAAAGAATACAAACGAGAGAGAGAACAATTTGTTGAGCGATCAAAGAGAGCAATTTGTCAGTTACGCAATGGATTTAAACGCGGACGATATCACGGATACCAATCTAGATGTATTTAACGTCAGCAACGTCGATGCTAATTCCGATGGTGCGGTGAGCGAAGCTGGAACATACACGATTCACAAAGACTATACCGACGAGGAGAAAGCAAGAATGGATATCGACAAAGTTTTCAGCGTTGGTGTTCTAACTGAAGACGAAAGCAACGAAGCATACGTTCATAATTTTAAGGTAGATAACATCTACAAGTGTTCGCATTCGTAATGTGCGCAAGATGTTCACGATATGATCTCATTTTACAGATGAGTATTTCACGCGATAATAATGCATGGATATCGGAATGGGCTACTCAAGTAGCGGAGCATAACTCTTTACCTCCGATAATAGGCGGCTCGACTGGTCGTACGCCGCCTTTGAGTCCCACCAAGATACCATCTCCAATTCATGCTAGATCTCAACGAATGTCACGCAATCACTATGTATGTACAAATATTTCATCAAAAATAATAAGATATCTATAAAACACAAAAAACTGCCGATACGAGTCAATATTAGATGGACGTGCGCATACAATTTATTGTCTATTTTGTATTATGCATCTCATTACATTTGACAATTATTTGTCTACTAATATAACTTCAGTTAACTTGTCACATTACTATATTAAGATTGTACTGAAAAGGATCCAAAGCAAAGAATTAAAATGTTTACATTTTTTCTTTATTTATATCTTTAAACAATAAATTTTGTGTATAACATACGTTCATCTAGTGTCGTATTGCATTTTTCGATTTAATTCATTAGAGTCTAAATATTTTAATTTAATCTATAGAATAACTATATAATTGATTAAGAATTATAAAATTTGTATAATATTATATAATATTGTATATAATATATAATATTAATTTTTTTATATTATACATATATCTTTTCAAATTATCTTAAAATTGCCGTCTTATCTGCCCTGAAGCCTCTTTTCGTTGAGGCTCTTAGGGTATTTCGTTTCCGTTGAAATGTTGTATCCAAGGGTTTTGGGGATCGCTAATTTCGAATCCGGTCTCAAAATTTGAAAATTCAAAATGGCTGAATCAATATGGCGAATTGAAGTTTTACGAAAATGCTAAAAGTCTTCCGATTTTAGCGAAATGTATTATTAAATGGCTTTCGGGATCGTTGATTTCGAGAAGTCCTTTGATTTCTAATTCGAACTTTCAATTTGAAAATTCAAAATGGCTGAATCAATATAGTCAATGAAAATGCTAAAAATCCTCCGATTTCAGCGAAATGTAGTATGAAAGTATTTTTGGGGTCTCTGATTTCGAAAAGTCCTTCGATTTTGAATTTGAACTTACAATTTGAAAATTTTAAATGGCTGTCCAATATGACGGAAGGAAATGTTATGGAAATGCTCGAAGTCTTTTGATTTCACCGAAATGTTTTATTAAATGGTTTTCAAGATCTTTAAATTTTGAATCAGGATAGGAAATCATCGACAAATTTTGAGAAAATTGAAATATTTCCATGGGAAACATAAAATTGGAAAATAAAATTGGTTGAACCAATATGGTGCTTCGAGGGGGAAGTCCCTTAAGGATTGCAGCGCAAAAATTAAAACTATGTGAATATAAAAGCGCATAAATCCTGTGAATATGATTTTCCAAATCGGTTGTTATTAACACGTGTGTTGGCTGACTGACAGCCTACTCAGCCCCCCCTCCCACAAAAGTTTTTTTTCTTAGATAAATGGAATAAGCGCAAAATTTTTTTCTTGTGGATTTTGAAAGCGTATTATTATATAATTTATTCATTAAGATTTAATTAAGTGGAGGTGTGTGCTGACGTATCTAGGCAGACGTAGGTCATCGCTTATAATGCGCTAATAATTATAAAAATTTAAAAACATCCTTATCATCTTTATATTTTTAAAAATCGTCTTATGACTTTCTTTTTTTCATCTCTATATATTTTAATCTTTCACATAGGAACAGTCACCTGACAGCAATCTGGATACGGATTCGTATGTACGAATAAAAGAAAGGCTCGGTTTAGTTTCAAGTCAGCATCAAATCATAGACTCCGGTGGAGAATCCGATGATGATACCAGCAACAGTTACAATACGCCGCCTAACAGCTCACAGCGTACACCTGTACATAATACCGTAATTAGACGTGGCAGCTTGTCCGAAGCGTTGTTTCGGCGAGCAAATAGCAACGAAAATAGGCGAAGCGTCCGAAAATATTTAAGCTCGGCCAAATCGAAGACTGCTGATATTCATGTAGAATTATTGAAGAGCCCGTCCCAAGTCTTGTCGCCTCTCCATTTGGAGAGAAGAAGTAGCTCTCTAGATAGGTGAATGATCCATTTCACACACACACACACACACACACACACACACACACACACACACAC